TAATTTTAAAATGTGGACCTTTTAAACATGAAAAACTTTCGTAGGACGTATTTTCTTGTAAAGTTCATATTTACTGAGTTATCGCACTTTGACGCACTAATGAGCAACCCTGTATATTAGTGAGAGCGAGAGACAGGCAGTGACTTGTTGTTTTTTGCCGCGTTATGCATGTAAATCGTTTTAGAATGAAAAAACAAAAACGCAAAGCTTTTTCACTAAATGAAAAGTACGAGATTATTAACAAAATAAAAAGTGGAGTAAAGCAGAGTGACGTTTGTAAGGAATTAGCACTTGGAAAGTCTACTGTTGCAACAATATGGAAAAACAGAGAAAACATTTTGTCAGCGTATGACAAAACAAATGTTAGATGTAGGAAGTTAAACTTATCTGCACATGAAAAGGTTGACACGGGACTTATTAAGTGGTTTACTCAAAAAAGACAAGAAAACGTTCCCATAAGTGGCAATGCCGAAAAAACCTTTGCAAATTGCTTTAAGCATGGGGATGTGTAAGAAAAGAAAATGATTATGAACCAGACGATGAAATTCCACTTAACGAATGGTTAAAAAACTATAAAGACTCTGACTACGAGTATTACACAGACGAAGATGTCCCAATGTGGTCGAAGAACAAGTTAAAATCAAATTGAGTGATTTCAATTGCTTCGAATGTGTGAGCATTGATAATGGCATTCTTACAAGAGAAATGTTGACCGATCAGCAAATTATAGACTCCGTAAGCGCATCTACAGCTTTAAGCGTTAATGAGAAAGATGACAATTTAGGTGAAACGTATTCTACTGTAGAAACTAATGCTGTTCCAACCATTTCTGAAATGACAAAAAAAGTGTGAGAATCTCGGATTTTTCTACAATCACGCCAAGTTCCTAATCATATCTGGGAGTCCTTTTGTGATCTTGAAAACTACATAAATAACATCAATTTTTGCAGCCGAAATGTACAAACCAAAATTACAGACTTTATGAAGTAGATTTCAAATTGAATGTTGTTTATCTTTTTGTGTTCTTTTTAGTCATACTTACTAACTTCTACTACTCTATGTAAAAATAAGGAAATAAAATACACCACGTGTTTTTGTATTATTATTCGCTTATAGCGAACTTCGGATATGACGAACCAGTTTTAGTTCATTTTTCAAGTTTGTTATATCCGGACTCAACTGTATTTATGCAAATATTTAAAAAATAATTAGCATTTATTGCTAGGTAGCAATAGAAACGGTTTAAAAATATGTATGATTTAACGTCTGAATAGTTAGGTACTTCCCGATCAATTGTATTGTATAAATCATGATACTTTATGTTTTTTTCCGCGAGAAGCTTTTTGTGCAAAAATTAGGGACTAAAATAGAAATATTTTTCCTACAACTGCACTTTGATTTAATAGTTGTTCAAATGAATGTTTTTAATTACGCCTTAGTAACATTTTAATCATTTCAGGAGATCCCACATAGTCAACCATCTAACGCTTCAGAATTCATGGCCGTTCGAACAAAAAAATGCTGTATTTTTCAAACTTTCCTGTTCTTTAGACCTAAAGAAAGAAACTAATTCGATATAGTTAAACAAATGTTGAGTAAATAAATGTTTGCGATAGTTTAGTGTCGAAACATAATCTTGGCCGGCATCTCTTAAAGTCGTCTTTAGTATTTCAAACTATGTTTTATATCAATTCATAAAAGGTTTATCAAATAGTTGATACTGACATCCCTGACGGATGAAGGTTTTGTGAATAGTAATATAACGGTCCCATTCACGGCCTCGCCGTTAGGGCAAACATTTTAGCTTTATTTCACGCGCAAAGGGTCACTTCGAGGATGAAGTTAAATCGAGCGTAATAGAATAAGATATGGCCTTAATAACATTTCTCCTGCAAATATGAGTAATATTCTATCAGCAAACGGATCTCTTGCAAAATGCGTACATTAATTTTCGCTGATAATAGATAGTGTCAGCTTCAGACGTTTTAATGGAGCATAAACATAAACATCCCGTTATCATAAAGGATGCCAACTAAGGCTTCTCATAGCTCCATTTTTAGTTCACACCAAGTCAGTATTTAGATTGTTCAATAATTATAAACAATCTTACTATTTCTCCCGGAAGGCCTGGAGATCCAGAGGGACCATCCTCGCCAGGCATGCCATCGTGGCCTGGAAATCCCGTCTCACCAGTTGCTCCGGGCAGGCCGCGGTCTCCTTTGTCCCCAGGAAGCCCAGGCAGCCCGATCAATCCCTGCTCTCCTTTCGCTCCAGATGGACCTGCACAAATGGGAAGCATATTGATTTTTTCCTCACAACTGTTTTGATACAAGGAAATGCTCATTCGAACCTGTTAAGCCTCTTTCTCCATCTCTCCCGGGTTGACCGCGTCGCCCTTGATGGCCTAGAGGTCCTGGAATGCCGGCAGTCCCTCGAGGGCCCTAAAACAGTCGTCCGATAGTACAAGAACAAAATAGTCAACACCCCACGTCTCTCCCTTATTGAGAATTGAATCAAAAATCAGTCTTCACTACCAACTCAGATGTTTCACTCAGTAAATCGCCGTTACCGTTTCTCCAATGTCTCCAGGCTCGCCCTTTTGACCATCGGGTCCTGTGAGTCCTTGAGGTCCTGGAAGCCCTGTGAGTCCCCTGGGCCCCTCGATACCTCTCATTGATACCTTGAACATATTTTCAAAAAGCTGCTGTTACAATCGTACCGAAACTCAGGAGCTGTACTATTACCATGTGCTGCGACAGCATCTGTCTAAATGCTTCCACTCCTTGATCGGGTCCTTTTTCAGTGCCATGTTGGTTTATCTGATGGAATAGGA